ATTTACGAGACGATAATCCGAAAGAATTTACTTTTACAAGCGAAAAACGCACCGATGACTCCCGCCGCGTTCTGGAAGAAGTTGCGATCCAAAAACTTTCGAAACGGAACGGGGTTCAAACTAGGTACATAAAGCACGAGCTCGATAAATAAGTAGTACGGCCAGAATTCTCTAACTCGGACAATAAATTCCACGCTGTTACGAATACCTTTCTCGCGCTTCACGCTCGCTCGAAGTTCACTTTCGACTTGTCTCTTAATTAATTAAAAGTTACAGTAGGTATTTCGCGATTATTCGCAACTCATGCTGTTGTGCTTTGCAGCGCACTAATGACTATATTAGAAATATTTTAATATTTTTTAAGACACTTTTAAAAAATAATCATTGCAGATCGTATTGAAAATCATCCGATTCTGCCATCTGCAAAATTAAATGAATATTCTGTCTTCATTTCTGACGCTACTTAATACACTTTTCTATGCGCATGCAAGTTTTTGCATGCATCAATTGTATCTATTTGTCAGTTTGTGAATTTATCTGCGCATTGTTTTCAAAATTAATGTTAGAGGTGTCCTTCAGTGATATTAATCGGATCAATGATGATAATTGAATATCCCAGCGGGATTAAAGGTGACAAGGCAGCGGTTGCGTCCATTCACCACAAGAATCAGACACAAATCGCGAATTATCGTCAGAGCTGAAAACCGCGCGTCAATAGACGGGCGTTAGTTAACGACTGTTTGCTAATATTGACGTAACGTTAATACTACAAACTATGATCTATTATTCCATTAAACAAGAGATTTCACTCGGGGGAACATTTAGGAACGCGCACAATAATTTCTGGCTCGTTCGATTGCGGCGTGGCGCTCTTGCCGCACCAAAGCTCGGCGAACTTCTCCACGGTGCGATCTCCTGTGAATATCTACTGGCGCGCTACCGGTTAGCTCTCGGAAAACTTTTTCCGAAGTTCGAGTTTAAATTGAAAGCGAGCTCTAGCGCGAATAAAATCGTCCCAATCGAACGCAAAGATAATTCTAAAAGTAAGCATGTCAATGATCCAGGTCGACGTAAAATAGGATCGCAGCGTCGAAAACGCTGGCAGATGGACTAGGGATGTTAACCGGCCAGGATTCGAAACGTTGAAACTTTCGGCGCGCATCGCTCGTCGGATAACAGCAACGTTTCCTGGCCGAACCTTCGTGTTCTCTCGGGAATTTAATCGCGTCGAATAAAAATTTATTCGTTTATCGTGCCGAGCGAAGTCGATCGGTAAATTGGATAGCGGGATATTTTAAACTTTTATTCCCGATGAGAGCGGAAAGCAAATTTCCGCGCGCCAAATGAAACTCGTCCGGCATTTGCGATGCACGCAATACGATTACACGGATAAATAGCGGATTAACTGCAATTACGGTTTTTAATAAGAATGCGTATTGAACAAAAGCGGGATTCTAAAGTTTTTCATCTCTTTCAGCGAGGCTAAACCACGATAAACCACGAAATATAGAAAAATACTAACATATAGATTAAAATTGATTTTTATGCTTACATTTTCAATTTTAGTGTTAAATCAGTATTACTATTTATAGTGAAAACGCTATCCGTACTTGATTTGATTAAAGTTATAATCTGTTCTCGTGTAATTAATAAAGTTTTAATTTTTGCCGGTAGAAATTATTATTTAAATGACTTAAACTATATACTTGTGTATGTATTATATGTACTTCCAACTTTGCGTCAAGTTAATTTAAATTTAAATGCACGAGTATGTGCATTAATAATACTGAAACGTAAATATTATAAAGTTTATATCATTTATTTAATATTGGAATAGGAGATGGAATAGGAGATGCTGCATTAGGAGATTGATAATGAAGCTAAACATAGCACAGTCTGATACTGGCTTATCTCGAATGAATTTACTCACTACAGAATTTTGTTATTACACAGCGCGTTTCGGTTCTACATAGACTGTCGAGGCGAGTAAAAAGAGTTTTTCATTTACGCTACCAGTAATATTTGTAAATCATTTAATCGGAAGAATTTAATATAAATATTAATTGTTGCTAAAGTTACATGCAATGCTGATTGCTCTCAAATCGAAATCTGGGTGAGTCAATTTAAAGTTTTTCATAAAACTCGCGCAAATAAAATCTGATATTTAAAAAATAACATCGAAAAATTGCACACGTAAATATTAGATGAACACTGAACATATACATTTTAAGTAAAATTGAAAATAATATCGAAAAAGAAACAAATATCGTTGTTTAAAAGTACAATATCTGCGTACCAGATTGTATTATGCATTATGATATGAACTATGTATTGCGTCATAAAAATGACAACAAATATAAATATTCTTCTCGCTCGTTAATCGTTATCATTCACTGGTAAAAAACATTATGAGAAATTAATGTTAATGCGAATAATTCGCAATAATATTTTGATCCGATATACAGTGGTTTTATTGACGTTATCTCTCATTTCGCTTTACGCGGTTCTGTTTAGCATCCGTTGCTTAGCGAAACTTTAACGGGCCAATTAACGCGACCGGAATCAACCGGGATAACAGTCACAAGAAACGAACGCATTTACCTGGAATCCACAAGCGTTCCACGTGCGGTTTAATCAGCACGTGCAGACCGTATAATTGCGCGTTACGCAACTCTCGGACAGACAAGAGTGTTACGCGAGCTGACGCGAGCTTAACTCCATCCCGCTCATTGTGAAATTAATGCGTTAGACCGTTGATTCTTGAGGGAGTAATATTTTACGCAATCTCAACTTGTTAACGTTATTAACGTTAACTTCTTAACGTTATTAACAACACCGTTTATTATTTCTGTCCTCCCCAATTTCGAATTTTAATGGTTTGTGTGAGAATTTGTCCTGCAATATCAGTGATATAGTTTTCGGCTATTTATCTATGCATCTACATTATGCGATTTCGAGAGGAAATTTATTACGATATGAGTAACATTTATGCGTCATTGGTTTGATAATGGTAATATTCATAGCTATTCACAATGCAATTATTAATTACCAGATATTACTGCAAAGCAATTAATATTCAATGTTAATTTAAGATCAATTACTTTTATTTTATCTATTAATAAATTAGAAAATATAATAATCTAAATTTATAATTGATTTTTTTAACATAAAATTAATCCAAAAGTTATTTTTTATTTTTTTAAATGTGTGTCACTGTTTAATATGCTTAAAAAAATGTATGTTATTACAAAATTGAATATTGAAATTTAAAAAAATTAAGTTTCGTGTCTCTACATTACATCCCTCTAGTTTTCAGTCAGAAGTGAAAAGTATTGATGTTATAATATTTAAAGGTTCCTATCGTTGAAATAAACTATAATAATTTTATTCAAATTTTTAATGTTTACAGTCAAAAAAATGCGCGCAATATATACACCTATCGATCTTGAATAATTTGAAATCACTGCGTGACATTGCTGGGAAGAGTTTGTCGGGAAAATCGAAGTGTCAACAACATACTTTGCCGTTACGAACTACGCGAAATTAGCGGCGACGCGTCAGCAATTTTCTCTTCCGTAGTTTTCTAACAGTGATATACTGAAAATCAATAATGCCTTAATACACAAAGTTGGATTAAATTTTGACAATTCAGGACGGGCGCATCTTGTGCAACTCGGGATTTGCAGTTTGGTATCATTAAATGTTTAATGTGTGAAAAGTGAAAATGTAGAATCAAAATATTAATCGTAACTTTTACAATTAATAAATTAATCAATGAAAATGCAATTTTGTATTATTAATATGCATGGATATCTGAACATAATGCTGAATTATCTAAATGTAGTGCTTTATGTAGGCCGTATTGATTTCGTATGTACGTCCTTCATTTTCACTGCGTATTATGGCGTGGATTTATCATCTATGCAGCGCGCCACGTTGAGCTCGCTGGTAGACGAGACGTTACGTCGGTACGAAATTGTTTTGCGCTTCGAAAAACGTGCGGTATCTCGTTCATCCGGAGACCTGATGCATCGCACCAAACACACCGTTGCACTGCACGTGCCAAAATAAACACCACGTGTCGCATATTTCATGCAATGCAACTTCCAATGAGATAAATACGAATATATTCCGCGAATGCGACGTCTGCATATTAAGAACTATTAGCAGTTTTTCAATTTACATTCTCCTCAGCAAATTATTCGATCACATTGTATTATTTATTCCAAATACACACCACTAATGTGATGTGTATGACATCCAAGTTATCTCTTCGAGTTTTGATTTTATTCATTTATATAACATCAAATGAATATATTGGATCCTCATGCTGTTAAAAACCGCGTGCACGCGCGGACGATTTTATTTAATTCATCTTGTTTGTTTGAAATAAATCCAAAACGCAGATGAAAATTAAAGTGCTTTTTCACACGCTTGATTAGAAAAATATGTTTTTCAAAAATTACTTTGCTATATTGTATTTAAAATAATTTTGTATTTAAAATAAAATTATAATACTTTGCAATGTTTATTAAATATATTGACTCTTGTATTACAAATTGTATATCACAATTACTGGAACCGGAAAAATGATATTATCGGAGAGAGCAGCTTTCCAGTAAATGTAAAATAAACGGAATAATAAAAATTAATGAAAATTCGGTAAACGAATATGCCAATTAATAAAAATTTTGGTAATTCGACAAACATGTTTTGTTAGGTCGCAGATAAAATATAGTTGCGAATCGGACTATTTGTACGTTTTGTTTTGTTTTTTGTACCAGTGTAGGATTAAATTTTTTTTTCCACCGCGTTTTTTTCTCTACTCGCGGAGTTCTCGTTGCCGGCCGACTTTTTGGGGCATGATAAACGAAGTTTTCCCCATGTGAGTAAAGTTCCGTTCTGGATACATCGTAAAGGCACTTTACATAGCAAAAGTCAGCACAGAATGTCGTAAGTCGAAAGCTGTGACGTGAACCGGATGTTTCGTTCTTTTGCAGGAGGACTTGGAACCTCGCGAGGATGCGGGACCGGCTCTCGTGGTACATGGTCTTCCTGATCCTGCCGACAATCCTCTTGGCCAGATCGCTCGATAAAGGTGAGTAAAGCATAACAATTCCTTTTCCTACGGGAATAAGAACATCTTTATTCGTTATTCCGCGGCATATTTCTTTTGTTAAATTCATGCAAATAAGAATAACTGAAAATTCATTACGCATAGATCTGAATTTCACAATATTTATTTGCGTATCGATTTATTGCATTGTATATTTATTTTATTTGCGAGAAAGCGCAAATATCACTGCTACTGATGTATCTTAACATATCTCACTCTCTCCATTTAATTGTTTACGATACGGATATAAGAATAATAACTACATATATTGTAGAACATTTTAAATATTATTAATGATTATATTTAACAAACATAACATACGCAATTATATTAAATTCATTAAAATTGCAAGTTAATTTTATCTTTGCCATTTTTGGCATCGTTAGTTGTTTCATTATACAAAAAAGATGAAAAACACAATAATGAACAGGCGGATTAAGTGAGATGAGAGATATATATTTCGTCACGTGAGCGACATAATAATGTGCGCAGACATGAAGCTTGATAAATTCCTAGGCGCGTTGCATCGTTAAAAAAAGTAGGAAATGGCCCTTTCTGTATTGAACGATGAGGTATTATAATGGTTCCAATGCGGTTCACAAAAGGGGCCTTTCAAATTTTATGGAGTTATAAGGTTCCGCTTATACCGGACGAAGCTTTGAATGAATAAAGCTTTCACTTTCAATTGGCATAGACGCGAGTGCCTTTTCAGCGCATTCTATAATAAATATATGAATAATGCTATCCTATGAATCATGGCGTAATTGCAATAATCCATAATGCTTCCAAGATTTGTGCATTGGTATATTATAGAAAATTGGAAAAATAAAAAAAAAATGTTTCTCTTTGAGTGAACGCCAGTGCTCTTAACGTAAAAGCTCCAGGGTTAATCGCGGGTGAAACTTGGATGAGGCGCTCGAAAAGTTAACGCTCGAATTTACATTTCGCGGTACACGTCGCATTAGGGCGCATTACGCTCATAAAGTATTAATTCCATCTAAAGGAGGCGATAGCGATCTTTTCATAATTGCTTTCTTGGTAATTGACGGGATAAATTATGCGCTATTATTTTATAGAGGTGATTGTGCTCTAATGCACATTACCGCCTAAGATTCAAATACACCTTCTTATTTCTTTCAACCTTCTCGACATCGATCGGTTAGCATGCATATAATTGTTCTAATCTAACATATTCACCGGTGTTACTGTGCGGTAAATGCACATATGTCCAAGCTATAATTAAGGTAAATCTACATTCACGTTGCTAAAGAAAAAAGACAAAACTATACGCGCACATTCACACACATTATAGTTTTTACTTCTCTTTTGACAAATTATGGAAAATGAGGGCGCACCAGTAAAAAAATTCAGTAAAAAATATAATAAATTTTATGAATCATAATTTATTATAAAAATATTTGCTGTGTTTTTTCATATTTTAAACTCTTACTGTGTTTTTGATTTAATTATTAAAAATTTTCCACACTTTTGATCATTGTCAGACCTTAGACTTCTATAGTGTATAATCTTCCATAATCTTTGACACTGACAAAGCGCACGGGAGGGGACAATAAATATCTTTCCGCAGAAATATTTAAAATTAATTCAGAAAGTACTCAAATTAATTCAGACATTCACATAGTACAAACACATAATTCTTCATGCGTGATGGAGAAGCAGTGACACTCAAGAAGGTCGGTAGAAAATAAGGATGTCCGCGCAAAGATATGCGAACATGCAATGCTCCATAATACCGGAAAACAGTGACAGAGAGCGAAATAGGAAACTCACAGTTGGAAATTTTATTTCCTTCCATTTACTTTTCTACGCAGAGAAATAGTTTACTACGTCGTGGTAGGCGGATATTCGTCCTGAGAGAAATCTGTTTTAGTGCACCGACCGGTCTCGCTGGTTTGCTCGTTTGCGCATATGCGCATCAAACATCAAGTTTCCAAGCGAAGCGGAAGAGCAGAGATACGAATGAAGAAATGTCAAGTAGATAAAGTCGAAGTAAAAATATGTCATGCGCTAATGCTTGCTCGAAATATTAAATATTCATAAACTACACTTTTGAAGAAATTAATACATTTCTGAAACTAAGAAAGATATTAGAAAAAGTGTATAAGTTATGATTTTATAAAAAGGTTTAATGTATTTATAAAATATATGGAATTTAAATTTTAATTATATATTGCTTTCAAAATAAATGATACGTAATTGTAATTTGATATAATATAAATTAGGTGTAATATTTATAATGGTCAGTTTTCCAACATTAATATTTTTTTATTTAATTGCAATATTTACGTTCATATCAATTATTAAAAAATATTTTGTTTATCAAGATAGTTTCTATTAATAATACATATTACATCTGACTGTTTATTTATATTACATTGTAATACGATTTTCTGTAGTATTTTCAAATGGGATCATGGAATAATAGATATTTTACTATTTAATGAATACTATAGAAAGAAGATACAAAACGAATACGAAACAATACATTTGTGCACGCGTATTGAAGCTTTTAGCAGGCACTTGATATACATGATGAAAGTGCTTCTAATTAAAATTCTCAGCATCAGTCGATCAATCTTCAAGTACGACAGGGATCGCTCGTTTATTTCGAACTCATGCGCACATGTTCGTGTAGATATACGACCATCACGCGAGTCATTAGCGATAAGAGAGAGAGAGAGAGAAAGAGAGAAGGGATATAGTATGTGTCTGAAAGCACGGATGAAGACCCGGCGGCGGAAATATGGAAATGCACGAAAGACGCAGGGCATGCGTAAAAATAGCGTCATGCATTTTTTCCAGTCTACTGCTCGTTAAGAGCGCACGGTGTCTGAAGTGAGATTTCCATCAATGCGTTGCGTTCAAGCGGTGTTAGAAAAGAAAAAGTGCATGCAGACTCGCTTGGTCAGCCACTGACGTTGAGGGAGACGATACAAAAAGGCGCATAATAGTAATACAAGCAGATACGCTCAAGCGATGAGTAAAAAAACGTAGTCTTTTAATCAATTGAGATATGAAAAAACAAAATCAAAAAACATGAAAAATTCGTAAAAATAATGAAAAGTATATTTCCATGAAGATTGGGAAACACGGAGTTTTGAATATTTATATCAGTTAGCGACAACGTTATGCGCGTTATACTGTTATAAAAAAACAACGCAGCAAAAAGTAAACTTATGATACATATTTCTACTTTTTTATTTTTTGTTTTTTTTTTTTATTCAGATGCTTTGTGTACGAAAACATTTCTTAATGTACATCATAAATATATTTGGTATATTTGTAGAATGTAAAATACAAAAACAATAGAGATGTACAATATTTTTGTGAAGTAATATAAATCTTTTTTGTATATTTATAATTTCTTACAGCTCATTTATTTATTTGTATTCACATAAGAGAGAAGAAAGAGAAATTAATTTATTAACAAATTATTAAGCATCTCAATAATAGTTTATGAATTTCTGCAAAATAATACACCCAACAGCTACATATGTACTCGTTGGTGTGCTATTGCAAAATATTTGTATTAACATTTGCTGATTGTCACAAAGTCACTCTGCGTGAAAATTTTTGAATTAAGATAAATATACCTATGTATAGCATTTAACATCATCATCGCTTTATCTTTATTCGATTTCTGATTTATATCCAAGTTTCTCTACATTTTACAAATACGACCGGCGCGACGATAATAATGAGAAATCACGTTTGTAGCATAAATTTTTTTTACGATCGTTCCTTTACACGATCTTTTATTCTTGAATATAATCTTTTATTCGCTATAACTCCGTGAACGACTTGCAGGATGATCTTTCTAAGTCGATTTTGACTTTTTTCCCTGCTTGATATTTCTCGTAAAATTTGGTTATCAGAATTTACTTTTTCAAGTTTCTTCAGGCGCGGTCGGTCGATTCCGTTGGTCGTATTTTCCTCCGCGGACTGCCGTATCGAAGGTGAATAGCCCGACCAACTCGCATTGTTATCAATTGTCATTGTGCTTTATTTTCCGTATTTCTACTTACGATAACGGACATGTATGTAGTATCCGGTGGTATTATATATAGTGGTCATATTGCTGAAACAATTGCGATAAAAATTTCCGCGGAAATTCCGATTGTAGGTGGTGAAAAATTTATCGTATTTTAGTGTACAGAAATTTGAGGTTAAGTACGAAAGATTGCAAGAACAATCGTATAAAAGATTTATGCCAAAAGCGTAATTATATCTTGTAATTGCTGTAGGATTGGTCGCGTGTATGTGTGTTGTGTGAAAATGTAGAGAATTTCGATATTCAACTCACACCAAGAATGCAAGGATGCACGCTCTAGTCGCATGGCTGCCGAGAGGTTAGATAGTAATGAATCTTGATTTTCCTGATGCATTGGATGCTGTTATACGTTTGGGTGCAGCTGCAAATAGTGAATACTAGATATTAAGTTTCATTCATTTCACAATTGCAGCGTCTTTATGTTTTTCTGTATTTAAAGGTGCGATAATTATACAGCAGACTTGTTTATCTTTGATTCAGATCATTTTGGTGCAATGCTATTTTATGATTGTCAGCAAATATTACAAAGTTCGTGTAATAGCATACCAGCGAGTATGTGTGAAACTGGCGTATTGTTTTGTTAAAGTTCAAACTGAGTTTTTGCTATATTTTAATAGTTTTGTGACATCCAATAAATAAAACAAATAATTGAAAACATTTTTGTGTAATTCTATGAGTATATAAATATTTTAACAATTTATGTATGAATAGTGAAGAAATAGTTTTTAAACAGTTTATATTGTTTGGAAAATTAGATCTGTGGATACGAAAATGGAATAAAATTTAACAGCTTTTAAAATTTGATAAAAAAAATGAAATAAAAGAATTTTCGCAAGACAAATTGCGGAACAGTCCAAACTGTACACATATGGCCCTGAGTGATTTTCTTTGATTTAACAGAGCTTTGTTT